AAACTGCAGGCTCAGAGGCCTGCAGCCGCAGGCGGGGAACGTTGGAGTCCTCCGTCACTGAAGCAAGCAAGCCTCATGTTAGTGTCAAGCTGCCTGGCTGCCGGCCGCCATCTTGGCTGTCAGTTAATTTGCATATCTTGCTGATTAGCCAATGGGAAGGGTAGTGGTCGTACGCCAATTACCATGTTTCTCTTTTATTAGTGTAGATATAATGCAATATATATATATACTATATATACAAAAGCCTATGAACCCAGTAGAATTTGGAAAAGCAAGCAAGCATTTGTCCAGCATGAATATTTAGCAGTAGATTTTGCCATCAAGAACTTGTATCAAATAAGCACCATAAATTCATATTTTACTATAGAAGCAGACTATTCCACCACAAATTCAGAAGCTTTAGCAATAAATAACTTCTTGATATAGTAGTTGATTTTATGTAGGAATTGGATGACTTAATAAGAACTATTAATAAGCGGAGGTATTCAAGCTAAACCCATATCATAACAGGATTGAAACCTCCTGCCTTAGGGTGCTTTTTGAGAGAGATCATGAAGAAAATGTCTCCAGCTCACAGATGGCACCCTTGTCTAGGTGAATTATGGAGTCTTTTCCCTTTCCTTTAAAGCTTTGGAAACTAACAACTACAGCTGCTGGAGGCTGGGTTTTAAACCAGAAGAACCATTGGTCTGATTCAGTACAGCAATTCTTATGTCCCTAAATTGCTGGTTTTCCTTCTAATTCCACTCTAATTAACTTATGGCACCATTTTAACTGCACATTCATTTATGGCTGCTGCAAATGGTGACTTAAACAGAGCCGACTTGTACTTGAGTTCAGGAGGGAGGCAGTAATGACACTGCCAGAGTTGATTTAACAAACTTTGTCCATGAAATAACTCATGACATTCCAAATTACAACTCAGCGATAATAAAATTCCTTTGCCTATGGATGCAGATGTAGTTTTCAAAAAGTGATTGAAATAGCTATTGAAGTGATGGAGCATTTTACTCTATAATTTGAAGAAATCTCCAAAGATGTTAAAACCTAACAAGGAATATAATGCTCTTCCTATCTGGATCAATTAAAAACTTTGTGAAAGGTAAAATATTTTCCAGATATACACTTTTGAAACAGTATATAATTTTAATCTCAAAATTATAGATGCAGTAAACATCTTGACATCACAGTTTTTCAAAAAAGTTACCTTCTTGTCACAAAAGGAAGGTTTTAAAGTGATGATGCCTAAAATTTTCCATGAAGAGTAATTTTTTGCTTTATTTTCACTATTATATTCTTTTTGTACTTTGTGGTATATAAAAGTAGTATAAAGATCATCAATTATACTTTTCTTCTTATGTAGGTTTGACAGGTTTTAAATTTTATCTTGTTTAACCAAAAAAAAAGGCAGATTATCTTTGCAACTTCTGTGTTTCAGGAAATTACCTCCTTGTCATTGAAATGTGAGCCCAGATTTGACAATTCACTTCATAACTAGATTTTTTTAGTGACATTAATTGACTCAGGGTGCCTTTTATGAAGTACTATGTATTAAGCTCCATACATAAAGTGTTCTGATGCTTATATATCTTGATATTACCTATCAAAACTAACACTAAAATTAAGATTATTTTTGACTAAGAAATCAGATATAGCAATGTATAAGTAGGCTATACAGTTATTTTATTTTAAATGAATATGTTTCAGTGTGCTTTACAATCTAATAAAATAAACACATAATTAGTGGTTGTAAATTGAAAGACCACCTATATATTCTACTGTCATAAGAGGGCTAAGGAGTAACAGTTTATATTGGATGATTTCTTAAAAACACAAACATCAATGGATTCATATTCCATGTCATATTACACTTCAATGAAATTGTATTTTAATTTAAAGAGTAGAATGGCTATAAGAGAATCTGAATATAGAAAAAAATCATTCCTTGATTCAACAAATATAATT